GGAAGCCAGCGGGAGGCGGGGTGCCGCCCACGCGGTGCGGCACCCACGCACCGTGCGCCGGTGCAGCGATCCCGGGGATGGGCGTGAGTGTGCGATCGGCGCCCATGCCGCCCACCGCGCCGCACGCGCGCCGCGGGAGGCGCAAGGAAGTCGGGGAGGGTGTGAGTGGGCGCTTGGCGCCCATGCCGCGCGCCGCGCAATGCGCAAGGAAGTCCGGGGAGGGGCGCGAGTGGGCGGTCGGCGCGCATGCCGCGCGCCGCGCGAGGCGCAAGGAAGCCGGGGAGGGGCGGCGTGTGGCCGGTCGACGTCCGTGCTGCGCGGCACCCGCGCACGGCGCGAGGCACCAGGAAGCCCGGGGAGGGGGCGGTGCGTGCGCGGCGAGCGGTTGGTGGCGTGCGGTCGGCGGCGTGCGGTCGGCCAAAATCGCGATTTTGCTCTATAAAACTCCGCTCGCTTCGCTCGCTCGCAATAAATTTCCTAACCGTTTATAATCTGATACTGGGGCTTGGAGAAGGGTGGCTACCACTTCTGGATCTGCTGTTTCTTCAGCTTCTGCGGCCTCAACCGTAGGTTGGTCTTGTTCTTCCACCTGCACATGACTCGAGGAAGTTCTGGCTATGTCCTCTCGGACTGCTTCTCCTATAACCTCGCCCTCTCAGGCTGCTTCCCCTATACCAGCTTTTGCTACCGGTTCCCCCTGAGGGGTGCGGATTCGACCGTTTCAATGGCCTATCCCTCACGGGCTGCTTCTTCCAACTCCTCGGCCTCCAAGGAAGAGGAGGCTAGGGATAGAGTTGTGTTGTATTGCCTCAGCCTCCGCATGCCGACGAAGCATCGAGGGCCACCCTCAGGTGGCTCTGAAACCAAATGATACGTGAAGATTATTGGTGTGGGGTTCCTGCCCTCTTTGAGCCGTGGACCCACCTTGCCAGGCACCTAGGTCCTTACGGGGACCTGGGCAGGACCACCCCGACCTACTCCTGTATTGTATACTATCGTATAAACTGGTAGGGGTGTCGTTACTATTGCGGCCCGTCGGCAGCCGCTGGTTTCCAGAGGCTTTGGGGTCGCCCTGCCCTACAGCACAGCCGTTGGAGGTCGGCTGGTCTCTCTACCTCGGACGGTGGGCTTTTCCGGGGCAGTCGAATCGACGGTCGCGCGGTGGGCCTAATGCTCGATGGGGATCGATCCCCAGGGCCTGCTATCGGCAAGAGGTGGCGGCGCAGCGGTGTGGTGGTTCGCTGGCTCGTGGGAGGCCAGAGAGTGGGCCAGAACGGTTACATGGATTCGCAACATGCGCACGCACATATCGCATGCGCCATGCCCGATCGCGGGTCCATCGTGGTCACATCATGACAAGACAAGACAAGTGCACGTTCAGGCACATCGTCACCATCCACCGTTCACCTAAATCAGCTCCGCATAATCCCCGATGCTTCTATCTACCGGTCCGAATCCCATGCTAAAGTACGGCAACTTCAACTGGCCATAACTTTACCGTTTCTACACGGAATTGGACGTTTCAAGGCGCTATCGGTATCAGGAGCTTCTAAATAAGCTGATTTTAACGTATTTGCACTTTTTTGACCAACTATCACTTCACAAATGCCAATTTTAGCCTAACCCCAAGTAACCACGTCACAGTTACCATATCTTGGGCGTCCCCCACACCAAGAAGCCAATAGTAGGGCGTCCCCCACATCAGACCATTGTGCGTAACACATATCGTACTCACCACGCAAGTACGATGCACAATTCATGGGTCACCGGTGCGCAAACAATCCGTGTCATGGCACTTACACCGGTGCCCTTGTGTATTGTCATTGTACCCATACGCTTCATATTCTGTATTTAATGTATCTTAAGTATTGTTCATAATCTAATAATATTACTCTACCAATTGCATAGAAAAAGTCCAGGTAGGAACCTTAGTGTTTTCTCGACTATTAATCATGGGCCTTTGCACTATCTTCTAGTGGAAGCTTTACAATTTCCTTTCTCATAGCTGCATACATATGTAGTGTGAGCAGACCAGTTCCCGCCGGGCATTTATACTGCAATCTGACATGGTATTAAATGTAACTCGGTCAGCATGACACACTATCTTTACATTCCAATAATTAATCACGTGTCCATCTTGACATATTAAGATTAGATGACTAAAATATGTTTAACACCACTCTATGTATTGAAGCTCACCGTTCCACATTATCTCTTGTGCTTCACATTTCGAAGTTGCTTCATATCCGTGCATCGCCAATGTGTCGCAACTACCACCAATAGAAACGGTTACTATTTTTTCTTGTGACAGTGAAAATTGTTCTTTTTTATGATATGTTCTTTTTTGCGACAGTGGCGATAATTGATGCACGACATGTTGGCATCAGATTTGCCACACCACCCCAGTGCGGTCCACGGGGCCTTCTCTCATGTAAGGGGGACTTGTACTATATTGTACATTATAAGTTGGTTGGGAACATTGTACAATAGGAACACTCGCTTGGGGGAAAAGCACATCGCATTGTATAATAAAGGCCTTCATGGGAACAATGTATATTAGGGAAACCAGGGATAGTACTTGAGAGGGAGTAGTGCCAATTAGAAGCAACAACTTGGGTGTTTTCTAATATTATGGACGAAAAGGAAAATACCGAAGAGAAAGCACCGTGTTGGTCAGCACGGTAGGAATGGGTCTCGGGAATCAACGGGTCCGTGAGTAGAAGAACAAGGGACAAATAAGTTCGAATTGAAACTTGGCAGGTATGCCAGAAATAGGATGACTCACCCTATTTCTGGCATGACCCTTGGGATCCCTTGGGAGTGGGTATAAATATAGACAAACTGGACCAATTTGTAATAGAAGTTGCTGCCCAGTTCAGACCTGACCGGTCCCCAACTGGAACGGAGAGAACAGGCCGTTTCCTGTCCGACAAGGGATCTCACCCCTTACATCTCAAACGGCGCTGAAGGCACGTCTGTTCAGAGAAGAGACCAAAAGGCAAAACAGGAGCGTTTGGGGACGCCCAGGGTCCCAACCTTGCGGAGGGGGGCTGCCGCTGCCATTTGGCGATCACTTTAGCACTGAGTTTCAGCCGAATTGGTGGAGGTTTGGGCCCCCCGTTTCCTCCCAAGCTTAGTTTTTCCCATGCTAGCCCCCTAAAACGCACGCAATTGGCCGTGGGGGGAGACGGCACCGCTAACTGGGACCGGGGAGTATTGCTTGTGATGTCGGACGGGGGGGCCAATGTGTTGGTTGCCAGTGCTATTGCCTACCAAGCATCGACCATCAAGGCGCCCATGCCCAGCACCATTAACTGGACACAAAACCAGGTTTTGCTGCCGGGTGGGGGCACACCCTACGAGCCACGACCTGTGGCAGGCTGCCACTGGTGGCATGTTAGTGCCTGGTGCAACCTAGTGCCCATTTGGCACCGCCCGGCCCTGTGCGTCACCCAGACCCCGGACAAGCATAGTGTTGACTCGTGAAGTTCGAGGAAGCAGAACAACAATCCCTCATGCAGTGAACAACAGCGCCGGCAGCTGGCAGCGGCCGGTAGCAAGTAGCGGGGGGCGGGGGGCAGGTAGGCGAGCCGATTCGAAGGCCCCACCGCCTTCCCAAGTTATGCATTAGTCATATTCACTGTCGCAAAAAGGAACAATCCACTGTCGTAAAAAGAAATATTCACCAACAGAAACCTCGTCGCAGGACGCTTCGCCGGCCGCCCCCACAAGATAGGTCCTCATTGATAGCAATAATGCCATAACAATGACAATAATGGCAGGGACCAATTTCCTGGCCCCCCTCCTTCGCACCGCCTGCGCGAGACGTCACGCGCGGCCTTCGAGCTGCCCGTCCAAAACACCATCCCGTCAACGCCTTGCAGCCCGACGGACCGCCACCCAAAACGGAGGTTACGTGACTCCAGCATCACCGCGCAGCAGGAATTTGTACCCATCCTGGGCCAATGGCCCCAAACCGGTCCCCGCCGCCCGCGTGGCCCCTCTCACGCGGCCCGGCGCAGCCGCACCGGCACGCCCCCCTCCCCGGCCACTCGGCGTTGAGACCCGCCGTGATTCCCCGGGAGGAGGTCAACAGGGGGCCTGGGAGGCGGCCGGCAGACGGCCATCGGGTCGGAGACGCCGCTCGGGGTGCCAAGCGCATCGAGTGTGGGCAGCGCGTCGCCCCAGGCCTGCATTGCTGGGGGATATCTTCGCTGTTGGAGCACGGCTTCGTCGTATCTCAGACGGCGGGAATTGTGCCGGGTGGGAGGCGTCGCGAAAATTCCGGTTGGCGCCGTCTGGCTGGCGAAATTCTGAAGCGCACGCCGGGGGTGGAAACCCGCATGGTCTGACATATGCTCTCGCACGTCTGGGCATGGCCGGCAGCGGGGCCTTGGGGGCGGGGATTGAGGGGCGCACACTGCAACGTGCGACGATCTGCGCGCGGGGCGCTGCTGGGCCGGGGAAGGGCCAAGGGGGGCGTGGTTGTCGATGCTGGGTCGGCCCGGTTGCCTGACCTGGGCGCCTGCAGGCCAGCCCGCGGTCGATGCAGGGGATCACTCACCGGAAGTTTCCGAGCTTCGGTGCGTTCGATCCATCCTCTCCCCCCCCCCGCCCCCCCGGCGTGGCGCTTGGCCGGCGACCCTCCGCGGGTACTGCCTGACAGATAGGCGCTTCGAAACAGCTGCCGGTGCGGGCGGGGCAGGGCGTGCGGCCCCCCACCCACCCACACCCGCTCGGGACGGCAATGCTGCGCTCCACCCCCCTTGCATTTGCGCGCAGCGCTCTTTTCCAGACCATCTGCCTCGCGATCTGATCGCTGCGGGCTGCGCTCAGTTGCCCTGGGCCCCGGCCGGGATCACCAGTGCGCGCCACAATCACTGCTTGCCGTAAAATGCCCCGCTTGCACGGACTCGAACGGCCCAACCCGGTCCCACTCACCCACCCCACCAGCGTCCCCAGCTCCGGCAAAACTGACGGGTGCCGCGCCCGCCGCAGGCATGGACTACAAGGACGAGGACTCCCTGGACCGGATGCTGAGCTCCGCCTCCCTGCCCCCCTTCTGCTCCGCGGAGCTGGACGACCTGCTGAAGCTCTTCAGCCCGGGGCAGCCGGGCCGATCGGCCGGCGAGGGCGTGGCGGCCGCCACCCCCTTCGCGCACTCCACCCCCCCTGTGCCCTCCCCAAATGCTGTGGCCATCGCCCACGGCCTCCCCCCCACGATGCCCCCCTCCCCCCCGCCCCTGCTTGGCGGCCCCGCGGACGGAACCGTTCCATCACGGAGCGCATCCTGGGCGGGTACCACTGTGAATCAAGCCATGGCCCAGCCGGGGCTGTTGCACTTTTCATCTGCGGGTGCGTCTGCCATGATGGGCCCGCATTTTGGACAGCGCCCAGGGGACACTGTCAGCAACGGCACGGACGGGTCCCACCCGGCCGTGTACTCGGGTGGGTCCCTGGTGGAGGGCCAGTGCAGCACGGGGGGGTCCAGCGGGAAACAGGAGCAGCATGAAGATGGCCTGGAGGGCCCGGGGAGCATCTCCTTCAGGCCCGATGCGCAGATGTTCATCTCCGGAGCGCCATTTGTGTTCCGCAGCACCGTTGGGAAACAGGACGTCAAAGGGGAGGAAAATGAGGGGGCGGGTGCGGAGCCAGGACCAGGCGCCCCGCCGCAAGCCACTGCCAACAGGAGGCTCGAGGCGCGGAAGGAGCGGAACAGGCGGGCACAGAGGACGTTCCGGCAGCGGCAGAAGCACAAGATGCAGGACCTGGAGGCGGAGGTGGCAGAGCTGTCGGACCTCATGAACTCCCTGAAGACCAGCAACGCATCTCTCAGCTCCAATGTTAGCCTGCTTAACAAGGTCAGCAGCACATCAGGGTCCAGCCTGACCAGGCCTTGCTTTGCTGCTGCTGCGATTTTGTTGCTGTGCTTGGGAGGCAGGTTACTGAACACTTGTGTTGCAGTTTTGGAATAGCTTGTGATCGTTGGGTGTACATATTATTGGGTGCATGTGTTGCTGTGTTCGAACCAGAACATATGAAGGCAACCAGCTCGTTTGCAGCCTTGCCAACTGTGTTGGAAGTATCATTGAGTCCTGCAGCAAGCAAAACTTGTCTGTAGTTGGGCTGCAGGATGGGTGTGCACTTTCACCTGGTAATCTTCATTGGTGAGGAGCAACTGTTCTTTCCTTTGCATTTTCTGTTACATGCTTGCACTGCAAGGTCAAGCCTGTGGATTGCTGAATCATCCCACAAATGTTTGAGAATGTTGTGTGGGGCTTGCCACAGGTCCTTGAAGTCCGTGACGAGCAGCTGCTGGACATGCAGCGCAAGGAAGATGAGGCCGATAGGCTCCGTGACGAGACAATGGCAGCCAGGGAAGGACTGAAGCAACTGTGCAAGGAGGGGCCTATGTACCTCTCTTCTTACCTGCAGAATGGGCAACCCGTGCGCATGACGGAGACATTCGCTTCGCACATGACTCCAAAGATCGCGCACAACATCTGGATGGTAAGTTATGCAGGTGTTTCCGTTTGTAGCAGTGGAAGAAGACATCTTGTGTTGTTGATCGCCTTATCCTGTCCACCTTCTGAAACTTCGTGAAAACAAGTTAACTGCAACCATCACACAAAAACAGCAAAGGCACCAAAAAACTCCTCACAGGAAAGGATGACGCTACCATGTATGATGTGATTGTCTACCTTTGCAGTACATGTGTTCACACCAGCACATGTCCTATGGCATGTCAAGAGAATAATATGTCCAGCATGCGATGGCGAAGTGATAATCTGCCTTAAGGGAAGAGATGGCTGTCTGGGCAGCTTTGCATCTGAAGGATGGGCTGGAGGCCAGGCCATTGTGTTAATCCAAAAGACCTTGTGAGCTTTCTTTGGGTGTACTCCAAGGCTATAAAGTACTACACGAATGATATGCTGGCAGCACCAAGTAATGGCATACTTGCGCAAGGGCTTGTTGGGCCACAAGGCTATGAAGGGGGCAGATAATAGTGCATCAGATTTGCTGCTTGTGGTCAGCTGTGAATGAACCCCGACTTCATGGCGTTGTATTTGGCAAACTCTGGTCAGCCTTGATCAGCTGGAACCTTTTGCACTCTCCTAAGGCTGCATGTTTGAGTCGAAGTTTCTTGTGTGACCAGGTGTATGGCAGGGAGGTGTCCGAGTGCATCAAACTGCTCTCACCCTCCACGCACCACCTCACCACCCGTGTGGTGCAGCTAGTAAAGGAGCTCAAGAAGTGCATGATCCTGTTCATTCATCTCAACCCTGAGAACTTTGCCAAGGTCCGGGAAGTTGCTGAGGCTGCATGCCCGCCAGCCTACACCGCTGTCCGGATGATCAAGGAGGTGGTGTCTGCGCTGGAGCTGACACTGGAGAAGAAGCATGCGATCGTGCAGAAGTGGAAGTGGCTGAGGAGTGAGCAGCAGCGTGTGGAGGCCGAGACCAAGGCTGTGAACGCGAAGTTCAATACACATCTGCCCACACAGACTGTGTCGCCGCCGATCTCGGAGGAGTACCTGTGCAACCACCAGCACGTGGAGAAGATTGGGGTTCTGCTGAAGCAGTGGCATGCTGCCAAGATGCAGTACATCCACTACATTATATGCGAGGTGGGTTGCATGGATCATACATAGGGGTGATGCGTGGGCTTGTACTTGTGTGACTCAATGTGAAATGAGCTTTCTCTGTTCGTTCTCACAAGAGGGGTGGGACGTGTGTGTTTGAGGTGAAGGAGTGATCTGTGACGCAAAACTACTGGCCTGGATGCTCCTGTGCTGGGGGGAGGTGTTTTACACAAATGAGTCCATATACAGAACCTGAATTTGTTTTGCTGGTGGTAGTCATAGCTGTCCAACTTGAGACGAGTGTGGAAGGACAATGGCAGGCATCTCCACCCCTGTCAGAAAGCAGGGTGCTCAAAATGTTTATTTGCCTTTTCAACACGTTGCAAGGCACTGCCTTTGCCCCCTTTACAAAGTGATGCCAGTGAACAGCGACTGTGAGTTTTGTTTCGTTTCAGCCATGTATCATTAGTGACTGACTGTTGTGCTTACCAACGTGACAATCAACTGCTAGCTGTTAAAACTGCGCAATGCAGGAGGTCTGCCAACAGTTTGCAACAGCGTTGTCACAATGTGACAATGGAATCAGTGCCAATTTCTAGGAGGATATGTGCTTATGCTTGTCCCAGGCTATCGTTTTGAGGTATTTGTGGATTTAGTGTGCAGCTACACTTGTCAAGTTATAGCAGAAGCAAACAGCTGCTTCCAGTGGTCGATTGCTGTCGCCTTCACTGGTGCTGGATGGGGTAAGACAGATAGGAGGGGAAGGGAGCAAGTGGGATAGGATGGGAGGCAAGGTGTAGCATGAGGTTGAGGGGGTGTTGTGGCGTTGGGATTGAGGTAAAGGGTTTATGGAGGCCTTCATGAATTGTGCAAGAAATGGAAGGCCGCAGTGTGCGGACCTTGTCACAATGTTATCAAGCTGTTCTCCGTGGTTGCATCATGTCACTTGTCTAAAGTTCTGTCTTGTTTGGTTGTTCAGGTCCTGACACCTCTGCAGCTTGGCCGACTGATCTCTGTGTGCTTCCCCATGATGCCCAACACTTTAAACCTTGGTGAAATATTGGCCACAGAGCTAGGGGAGAACCCCAACCAGCCTTCTTTGCCACCCCCTGAACCCTCGTCCCCACAGTGGATAGAGGACCCCAGTGACCTCAGCGCAGAGATGTTGGGAGGACAGAATGCATCCGATCTGGGACCAGGGCACTGCAGCTCAGAACTGATGAACTCATCCCCTATCTGTGACGATCTTGGCCATCGGATCGTGCAACCAGGTAGCTGATTTTTTCTGTCTCCAGTTTTTGTCTGTTGGGGATTCAGCCAGGTTGCTGGGACCAGGCCCTCCAGTGCGTTCAAGGCCTTTTCAGCAGCGAATCTGTTTTGGGGCTGAAACCCTTTAGATACGACGTATCGTACATGGCAATGTTTGCTAACGACTGAGGAAGGTCAGCATGTGGAACTGTGGTTGACTTGTTTTGCTTGGCAAGTACGTAGATAGTTTTTCCAGAGACAGGTGTTTGCGCACAAGGTGTCGTGTATATATGCGAGATGTATCCTCTGGAGCAAGGGCTTGAGAAGGCAGATGGGTTGTGGACTGTGTGGGTTGTTGGTTGGTGGGTGGCTTGGGGCATAGTGATCATAGCAGGATTGTTGTTGTTCTGTCCTTACTTCTGCTCATGTAATCTTGTTTGATTGAACACAGGCTTGTGGGTTTTGAAATGTAAATGGGATAACGTGGCAACTCGGTTTATCATCTTAAGTTTCACTTGCATTGTTGCTAACGCAGGCCATTCATATCGTAAAAGGGGAACCCACTGAACCACCTCGGTCCTGCCATCAGCTGTCTTTTAATGTTTTCGGAACCGTTGTGGTCCAGCTGCAGTTGTTGGCAGCTGTCAGACGATGCGTAGTCTTGCGTGCTGGCACCGAGAAGTCACCAATCAGACAGCGCCCCTACCTGTTGACGTTCACAGCAGGGCACGTTTCTGTGGCCTTGCCAAGGCTGTTGGCGGTGGGGGGCTCCGTCATTGCTCATCGCATGATTGCAGGGCTACTGCTTTCGTTTTGTCCGAGGCCACCACTGCACAAGTGGCCCATGCAGATTGCGGTTTGCTCGCCCTCGTAACCTTCTGTCTAGCATTTGTGTGGTAGTATGTGCAGGGCTTAGGCCAAGCCCTTTATTCAAGGGCGCCCACGTGTGATGCTGTGGCAACGCGCGAGTCTGGGTGAGTCCTGTCAGTGTGCCTGGTTTATTGCTGTCGCAAGCTGCTGTGTATTGCGCGCGATTCATGGTCACACTGTTAAACTTGTTGTTAGTCGTTGTGCCACATCAGTACAATGATGGGCTCGCGACTGACGTACGGCAGCTGACTGAGGCCAACCCACATTTGGCCGGTCAGGAGAACGTGGACAGCCGCTCAGCGCTGCCAAAAACGAGAAAGCATGCTGTTATTAACTGAGTTTTCAGTGATGACGAAAATCTGTATATGAGAAGGGAGACGTGCTTTGTCCCAAAGGAAGAAGAAAGAGCGCCAAAAGTATGTGGCGATGCTGCTATACTGCAAGAGTCATATCCAATATAGGGATAGTGGCAGCCCTGCCTGGTGCACACACTGGCAACAAGCACCTTTGAAAAAGGCAGAATTCCTGGGGAAGCGCTGGCCACTTCATCACACAACTAGATGGATAGATTGCTGAAACTTAAGGCCATGTTACAACTGCTGGATGGCAACAGAATAGGCCAAAAGGGACAGTCATTCTGCTTCAATAATGGCTCATATTCATGGCAGAATTCTGGGCGGAACATGCAGTTTCAAGTGGGCCCCAATGGTGGGGTGCAGTTGGACTGTAATGCTCAACCGACGATGATAATTAGGTGAACTGACGAATACACGTATGTCGCGTTCTGTACCTTGGGGTGCGCGTCCAAGGCTGCCATGCACCAGTATGTGTCATGGCAATCTTGGGTATCGTACGACAACATTGGGCGCTGAGTCGCGGAGCGCCTCTGAGGCACCACCTAGCGATGATGCGCCCGAATATGGTTGCGAGAGCATGGTTGCCAAGGCTTGAGGGCGATGATGAACGTGGTGGAATCGAATGGGCTAAGCTGCGTTGCTTGCATGGCAGCGGCCTGCCTTGCTGTGCATAGATTTTGCATGCCCACAGGGAGCTGCGATGAGCCCAAGGGACACTCGAATCCATGACGTGTGGGACTGCTGGGTGCGGTCTGCCCAGCGATTGGGGGCGCGATCAAGGGGCTGGCACCTATGGCAGAAGCATGGTGGAGCAGGCGAGGGCAGATCCGGGAATCGTGATGAAATTGGTGCTGAACGATAGTGATTGGTTGTGAGACAACAGCCTGTGAATCCATTGAGCTAGTTATGATCCAATGGTTGCAAAAGGATAGTGTTCGCGACGCCGCATAATGACCACCATTTCACTGGGTGGATCACTTCTGCTTGATGGCTTGCGACTGGTGGGCATGTCAAAGCGTGAATCGCTGCTTGAGATTGAAAGAAATCTGAAAGTACCGAATAGCCATTTCTGTGATTGAATCCTGGGTTGGAATTTGGCTTTTGAGGTACTTTTCGATCACACTCATGTTTGTTGAGGACAACATGAGCTTGATGAAAGAATGTCCTGCAATTCACATAGAGATGCCTTGGTTATAGTGTCTTGTCCGCAAGATGCAAGGGTGTGTTGTGTGGAAGTTTCAGATGTGTGTTTCCCGAAGCTTTACAGCATTGTGACCGCCCTCTACTTTCACTTTGGCTTGCAAGATTTGTTGTACTTGCACTTTGCAGTGGGGGCGTTTGGAAATGACCATATGTGGCACCTGAGTAGTCAGAATTATGTTGTTTCGAATTCTGAGTGAAAGGGAAGTTGTGGCATGTTTCAAACGTGGGCTGCACCTTAGTGATGAGGTGGCATGGGGGGTTGAATTGTTTTATGGGCATTTGGGATTGACGACAATCTTTAGAAGTCGAAAATGGGATATTGTGTCAGATAATGGAAATTGACATGAACGTGGTTGGCCATTTTAAGCGCACCCCAGCCTGTTGGGGGCGCAGCAACCTGTGCTGTGAACCACGCCTTGGACTCCGTGTCGCCTGGCCATGTGAGCGCCGGCGCATGGGATGGCGACCCCTCCAATCGCCTAGATATTGCCGCTTCTCTGGCTTACTCCGAAGAGGACATGCCCATCATGCTACGCATGATGGTGCTTTTCCTTTAACAATAGCTTATTTGGTGGGGAAGCTGTGGGGGCGGCAGTTGACAGTGACTTCTGAGTGAATAACACTGTTCCAAGGATCATTGCGAATCATTGGACGTGAGGGACGGTGACGGGTAGCAGATCATGATAGTGATCCGGGAAGCTAATATGACTGACAATGGTTAATCGAGGAAGCTGGCCAATAGTGATCCGAATCCTCAGAGAATATTCTGGGGATCTTCGGACAAGAGGGCAGCCAGCCGGGGCTATATATAGGGGGGCATGCAGAGGGTTTGCTGCAGTCACCCATCGCGGGAGCTGACCTCTGGGCTGTTGTTTTGGAAGAAAATGCAACATATACCTGGTTGCCCATGGAAATCTTGGAGCGCCTGCTTGTGGGTGAACGTCTAAGTGCCGTCCAAGTAAAATCGCTTCAAGTGATCGACTTCGGGAACGTGCCAGAAGCTGAGTCTGGGAACGCGGGTAATGCCCCATTGTCGTATAGCATGTGGCGCGTCGATTTATGGCCTGTACGGCAATTGTGACGTTGCATTGCGTTCGCGTTGTGATTCGGTGAGTTGCACGAGGACTGGTGAACAGAGATCGTGGGAAAATGAACGCCGGACGCCTTCAAAGCACACAGGCATGTGTCGCAGCTGCAAAGGAACGCCGATTCGGTGACACGATCATGGGCGGTTTGAACCATCGTCATCACAGACACGGCATCAGCAACATTCAAGTGCATACATAGGCAAGATCCAGGCAACATCCAGAAACCATTACAGGGTCTCCCTTGCAAACCCTCCAGGATCGCTCATGCTGAAACACTAGAAAGTGATCCCTAAATCCAGCTGCGTATCGCTGATCATGGCATGAGCCCGGCTAGAATGGAGCGCTGCCCTTCACCTAGCTGGTTCAGAAAATCTGTATCCGCTGCCAAGCGGCGTTGCCATGCCTCAATCGAGGTGCTGCGCGCTGATCGACGTGAATCCATAACCTGCGCTGCTTGCGAAGTGAGCCATCCCCTGATTACATGCCCGTTAACTACGATGAACAATGATTGACATGTCATCCATGCCAACAAAGGCTCAGCCGGTCGGTGGGGACATTTTGGCTTCAATGATCACAGGCAGCACCAGTGCGAGGAAATGGAAGGCCTGGATCCTCACATTAGCGAGGCAGCAGCAGCAGCTCACCAGTCCTAATGGGCAGCTGCGATGGAGGCTGCTTTAACAGCAATTGAAGCGGCGCCAGTCATCAACGGGCAAGTGTGTTGGTGTCCAGCGAAGTGCGGCATCGCCACCGCCAATTGGTGTGTGCTGTCTCCTTTCCACTCCGATGTTTTCCTTGTTGCTACCAGCGGCCGACCGTGGGCACTTGGTGCGGTGGTACCGTGGCGGTGTCGCAGAACACTTGGACCACGCACACTGTGCGAGTTGAACATCCATGTCGCATGTCATGTGGCCACATTCGTCCTTCAACCGCGTTATTTCTGGTCCCCGGAGCGTGCGCGTCTCTGCTGTGCTGCAAGTTTCCGCCGGGCCGGGCTCCTTGTCCCACCCAGGTCCACACACACACTGGACCAATACATTACACGACACTGTTTGTCCCAATACAACCCGAGGTACCCACAACTTTGTGTGCCCAATCGCTTCGCTAGTAGTTCAGCCAGTCCTATCCCAGACTTAACCCTTGAGTCAGACCCACCACTCCCGTTCCAATATCCCTTACTCCCACACTTGCCCATCTCAACCGAACATCACCCTAATAGGGGGGGCCGGGTGGGAAGCGAAACAAGATAAGGTGGGGACCGAGGGGTGAGCCTAAGTAGCCTCCCCGCTCGCGCCCGCCAAAGCCCGCCGCTCCTGAGGGCGCCAAAAACCACTGGCCCTCCTTGAACGCGACGAGCCAGCCACTGACCCAAGGTACAGGGGGACAGAAACCCCAAGGGGCCGCCAAAACCAACGTACTTTAAGCAGCGCTGGCCCAAGTGGGCCAGCGCGCCCGCCCCTCGTCGCCCTGGGCGGAAACCCCTTAACAAGATAGTTAATCCCATTTCTGCCGGG